AAAAAACACAAAGCAAAACTAGTGATATTATACCATAGCAATGCTTTTGTTAGACAATGTCAGGTGCAAGAATGAAATTATAGTCAGACTACATTTTTATACTCGTATCAATATAGATTTTTTTTGTAGATTTGAAAAGTTGTTTTAAAATTTAAGAAGCTTTTTAAGATTTAATCAAAATCACGTTGATTAAAAGCATACTAGAAAGACCCTAGTGACTACCTCCCCGGATTATTATGAGCCACAATATTTTTGGTTCTCCTAATTCAAAGAGAAAAAAAAAAAAAACATGTATAAAAAATATCACGAGACATCAATCATGTTTTCTCTAATTCCTTCCATCCATCAAGAGGAATTGCCGTGATAAAAAAAAAAAATCTTAAAACGACCATTTTAGATCTTAAAATCCCCTTCTAACAAGGTAATGCATTTTTCTTTGCAAGTGTTTTTCATTAATTGAATTCTTGATATGATTCATATAAAGGGACGTTTGGTTAGAGGATTCAAACCATGATTTGAATCATGATTTATGGTTATTATAATGTTTTCTCTGATCACAAAAAATACACGTAAATTAAAAATAATTATAATCACATGATTCTAATACATAAACTAAACGTCTCTTAAGATTCTTTTCAGTTCATTTCTAGATCCATGATTAAGACAAGTCCCTATTGGACTAACCATTGATGGACTTCTTTTCCCCCTCAATTTCAATGTTTGCTGTTACATTTGGCATCGAGAAATTCACCTTCACTTCACTTCACTTCACCTCAAGTTGTAAGATCACATGTTAAAGAAATTTGATTTTACCTTTGTTGAAGCCTCCAATCAACCGTTGATGGGCACTTGAAAGGGTAAGGAGTAAGGACTTAGGACACGTCCAAGTATCACATCAAATGAAAAGTGGTGTTGTACTCCCACGGCGGGTCCGCTGCCTATTGGCCTTTTTTACCCCTCTAAGACTAAAGTAGGCCATCGATGATAATAAGCAAAGAGAGATACATTGTCAGGTGGAAATGTTATTGTGTAAGAGCCTCCTTGTGAACATATATTATTATATATTAATCAATCTCATACCCCATTTGGCCATTTGTGTGAGAAAATAAGTGGGACCCTATTATGAATCTATAATTCACGGCTTTGAACGGTCAAGCACCAAATAATTTGTGTTCATGTAAAACATAGGATTCCAACCCCTTTTCATCTTTCCTTCTTCCTACCATTTCCTTACTTCCTCCTTTTTTTTTTTCTCTAATGTTTAAGAGAGTTTCTTTATAGGACCTGATATACTGGTAGTATCAATTTTTAATTATTAATCAAGTTAAAATTATATTAGATTGAAAAAATATTCATAACAGACATTAAACAATTTTTAATAAAACTTTAACAGTTAAAAATAAAGAATTACTAATAGTTCATTTTTTCTAATCTTACCATATAAGCTTATAATGTTTAAATGTGTATTTCCTTGCTTGCAGTCATTAATATCCAGTTTTTTTTTTTTCTTTTTCCATTATTCTTTCACCATCTCTTTGCAAATATCCATCTTTTTGTAAAGAACTGCAAAAGCGAATGACTTTTGAACCATTTTCTTCCTTTCTTATGGGAGAGGGAATCCATTGTGAAAGTGGGTTGTTGGATTCATGCGGAACGGTCAGGCTAATTCAGTTGAAGACACTTCACCGATTTGATTCATTGAATAAGTCAATTTTGGGCGAAAATACTTGAATTAGTCTTCAAATATTTGAATGGTGATTATTATGATCATTTCTCGATTTTCATATTAAGTAATTACACAAACTCTAGTTTTATGACTGTTAAATGCACTTGCTTATGTCTTGAGTCACATGGCCTTCGCAAACAAATAAAAAAAAAAACAAAATTTTACAATAATATGTTATCAGTAGACTTTGAACTTTTTATAGTAGTTTATGCGGCAATAAATTATTATCTTCGTACTGATAAATTTAATCTCTTTAAAATCTAATGTCATGACATGAAATGATAACTTATAGTTTTATTCATAAATAAAATTTTGGCGATTTAGGGTTAGCTAAGTCATGACTCACAAATAAGCAAACTTAATATTAATTTAAAATTTAGATATCATAATATAGAATATTAAAATGTAAATATCTAAGAAAAATACCTCTGGTTACTAGTGGGTGTATATAAATGATTTGTTTCTTGGAAAAATAATAAAAGAATTATATGTTAATAGTGAAATAAGTTGGAAAATTAGAAACGAGTTTTCCTTTTCTTCTTTTCTTTCCCTGTCTAAAATTTCTCTGATGCTCACCCTTCCATTGTATGGAATTTGATGCTCGCCCTTTCTTCTCTTCTTTGCGCCACGACCTCTCCTTTATTTTTTCCTTTGTATTTCTTCTGGACAGTAAACTGATGCACCATGCCATTATGTAATTGGGTGTCCGGATTTCCTTTTCTTTACCGGCCCCAACCTCTCGACTTTCTAATTTTAATAGTGGCCACATTTTGAGCTTGAAAAAAGAGAGATTATGATTTTGCAAGAGAAGAAAGAATAAAGACGGAGGTCCCAAAAGAGGAAAAAAGCAGAATAATATTTGAGAGGGCAAAAGGGAAAGTGATTGTTACACCATAAAAAAAAAAAAAAAAAAAAATTTTTAAATCTGCTCTAAAGAAAGCAGAGCAAACATATATAGATATATGTAAATTTTAACTGTTTTGGTTGCCGCGTCGTTGTGTAAAACTATACTTTTTGTAAGTTTTATACTTTATGATTTCAACTTAATTGTACATAAACACGTCAAAACGCGAACTCAAATGTGTGATGTCGCTTATTAATTAATAATGATAATTCACTTATCATATTATTTTATATAAAAATAAGTTCATACTTAGGATTGATGTTCAATAGTATGACTCTTCAATGATATTTGAGACGTATTGGATAAATGATATTTATGTGGCCGTGTTTGAAATTGATCCGTTTTTTTTTTACGTTTTTTGAGAAAAAAAAAATAAAAACGTTTCTAAATCGGCGTTTGGCGTAATAAAGGCAAAAAACAGAAATGAAAATGATTTTTTAGTTTAGTATAAAATGAGAGAGAAATAAAAAATGACTTTTAATCGTTTTTTATTTTTTTATTTTTGTTTTCTCCTCTCTCGAGCAGTGAGAAAGAGAGATAGACATTAATAGATTTTTTTTTATACTAAAAACAATATATTGATAAAACCACCAAACGTATTTTTAAAAATAATTTATGTCTAAAATTAAAAATATTTTCATTTTCATTTTCATATAAAAAATAAAATTATTTTAAAATGAGTTCTAAACGCACCCGGTGTTTTTCTTTCTTTTTCTAACTTATGCAATGAAGTACAAAGAAAGAGAGAAAGATAACTAAGAAGGGGGAATACCATATTCGAGCAAATAATGCTTTTATCCCATGTAATATAATAACGTAATTGTGTTAGTTGCAGTTATATCCTTAAACACTGATTTACGCGACAAATTCCTAAAAATCGCTACACTTAAATTCTAAATGGAACTAATAAACCTCTTGCATATATTACCAAGAGAAAGATGTTATATAGCTTCAGTTGGAAAATGTTGACTAGATTGTTTGTTCTTTAAGTACGATGAACAATGAGATCCATGTTGTCATAAGTTTCTATAAGATAAGATTCATCGTAAATAGTACTATTAAAGCACGTACAAAATTATCTCACATTGTGAGATTTTAATGCCTCAAAACATGATATCCATGTTGCATGTTTCATAATAAAGTGAAACATACTTGCGAACTTGAAGATTAGGCCACGTTTGGTAGCTTATATTTTAAAGGATGTCCTATTTACGGTGTTTCTGTTTTTATTCATCTCTATGTAAAATTTTAAAAATTTTGTATTCATTTTTACATTTTCTTTGCGAATTTGAAGGTTTGTTTGCTAATTTCATTTTGTACGGTAGTTATTTCAACAAACCACGCTCAATGTAATATAAAAATGGTCATTTTAATTTATTTTATTTCGTAAGACTCTAAAATTTTTTGTACGAGATCAATGATGATTATAATGTGATTAGGAGAGAGAGGAATAAAATTTACACACAATGTATGTAAAACAGGAATAAAAACGAAAACACCATAGAGAGGAGACAAATAGGTTAAAAAACCACACTTAAACCCTCTCTAATATAATATAAGAGATATTTGATTCATAAATTAGAATCATGTGATTAGAACTATAGATTATAATATAGGAGACATTTTAGAGCCGGTTTGGTTGGAGGATTTATTCTCTGATTTGAATAATAGTTCATGGTTCGTTATAATATTTTCTCTCATAAAAAATACACATAAATTAAAAATAATTATAATATCATGATTTTAATCCATCAACTAAACGGGTTCTTAATATTTTTGTTCAAATCCAAACCCAAGAGACAAACGACGTACGTCCGAGTGAAAACCCAAATTCCAAACTCCAATCTCCAAGCCAAACAGAAGTCTTAAACGGGTTCTTAATATTTTTGTTCAAATCCAAACCCAAGAGACAAACGACGTACGAGTGAAAACCCAAATTCCAAACTCCAATCTCCAAGCCAAACAGAAGTCCTAACCAAAGTTGGTTAAGTTTTAACTGTGGGGTGTCACTGGAACAACCCAATTTGGGTGTGGAGTGTGGTCAACAAGACAACAATAGAGTCATTTGACCTGACCCCACTCTCCCAAAGGGCAATGATAAAACCACTCACGGGGGTCCACTCTTTTGTCACAGTCACCCTCTACTCTACTGTTTGCTTCATCATTGTTCACTTATACCTTGCGTGCACTCCTCCCTCCAATCCCCAATCCATTCCTCACGCCCGCACGTATCAACCAAAGCCAAAACCAAAACCAAAAACACAAGCAGTGGCTCTCTTATAATTTCCCCTTCCAGCCAGGGTCATTTCCGTCAAATCATCTTCTATATAATCTCTCCCTCCGTGCACTATCCAAGTTTCGCCTTCGATTTCTTCCATTTTCCACTCTCTCTCTCTCTCTCTCTCTCTTCGTTCTTCGTCTTCTTCCTTCCAAAAAAGCCTATAATTTCACTGCTTCTTCTTCTTCGATCTGGGTCGTCTGAGCCACGCTTTTCCTTTCTCTCTCTTCATCGACCTGATTTCTCTCTCTCTCCTTGTTCTTCACTGTAAGTTTCTTCTTTAGATTCTCGTTTTCTTAACGTTTTGATGGATTTTTTTCGGATTCTTATGCTATAAAAATACGATCTTTGCGCTTGATTTTTCATTTTTGTTTGTTTGTATGGTTTTTCTTCGAGTTTATATATCTCAATTTGCTGTTTTTCTTCTTCTTCTTCGCATTATGTGATTTGCTTTGCTCTTTTAAATGTTACCTTCTTTTATTAACTGTTAATGGCCGATTATTCTTACTGTATTAGCTTTTTCTTTTTTTTCTTTTTTTGGTTTCTCTTGATCGGAATTCGGAAATGTTGCTCTGTTTGGTTCCCGGGAAAATATAAGCAAATAACCGGCTAATTCAACAATAGATCTATATCATCTTTAGCTGCTTTCGTTTAAAAATGCTTCCGTTTAAAAATGCTTCGAAGAATTGAGCTGAATAATTTCGATTTTATATACGTTTACACATCCTAAACCAATAAATCTCATCATTCTCTGTTCATCCGTGAACTCAGATTATTGTCTCTAATTTTACTGCGAACTTTATGCAGGGTTTTCGGAATAGGGGTTTGGGCGTAAAAGAACTGTAGCGGAGATCTTTTTGTTTTTTGTGGGTGTGAACGGAAACAGTATGCGGTGGTGGCTGACTTTGTCTGTTGATGTTTTCCGCAAAGTCATCTCTTTGAACTTGTATTGTAAAGTAATTCTGTAATCTCTCTTTACAATTTCGAAGTCCCTTTCAAAATCTTTCAGCCTTATTATCAGTTATTTCCCATGGGGTCCAGATTTTTCATCGTCGTTCCTTGTTATGTCCGGCAGATTAGCTGAACATTAGCTAACTAATTACCGATTACCCGCCTCAAATCTTTTGTCGGTTTTTCCTTTTTTGGTAGTGGGTTAGTTTAGCTGAAGTTAGAGTACAAACTTTTTCTTTTAAGTAAGTTTCTTCCTGGTTGTTCTGTCGTTTGGTGTTTTCTGGTGATTTGTTTGATTCTCTTTTGTTCTATTTAGCCAAAGTCTGTCTTTTGTGTATTACCCAAGTGCTGGAGATATTGTCCTTGGAAGAAGATTGTGTTTTTTTTTCCCATCGTATTGAAGGGCTGGAAAGTAGTGATGGTGTGCCAAGCAGCGAGTCAAACAAGATTTCGGGCATTGAAACACGAAAATGGGATTGCTGGGAGTGCAACCATTATAGTTAGAGTTATAGCATGCTTTCAACCTCTCCAGGACTGCCAGGTTGGTGAAAACGATAATTTGCTGCTTTTAACCTCCCATTTTAAGAGGATTATTTGATGTGAAAAGTTGTTGCCTTTCGATTTCGTTGGTTTAGATTCACAAGATTCGTTGCTATATTTTGTTTGTTGGTGATGATATGCTTCCTATTGATTTTATTTTGTTGGATATTTTTTTCAGGCTGAATATTTCCGTCATTTGCTAAAACCTGTTACGTAGATAAAGTTTATGCCTTCTGTAGTCAAGTTAAGCTGGAGTATTTAGTTATTTTCCTTGTTGGTGTAAGAAAGAGAGTAATCAGCATCTAGTTGTACATACGTCGTTCTGGTATGTTTTACTTTCCAACATTCCACTATTGTTTGTATGATTTCCTTAAGCTGTAATTGTGATATTTATTAGTTATACTGTTTATTTTCTAGGTAATTGTTTTGGTTGAATGGGTGAAGATTGTGGAGCCTGGCATCCCAAGCTTGGCATTAATTGGCAATCACCCTATCTTAATTCTTTGGGTGCCCCATTGGACTTGGGACAGTCTGCGTGTATGAATCCGAGCACAAATATGATGTCCACAAATGGTACTTTTTGCAGATATCCATTGTCGGAGGCTCCTAATTTGCGGGTTGGACAAGCGAATGAACCTAATGATTGGTTTTATTGCTTGCCCCGTTTCAGACAGGCCTTCGCACCCGCTCCAAACTCCATTCTCCAAGAGAAACTTCCGGCCTTCTGTCATGAAAGTTGTAGGGAGACCCTGAAGCCAAATGTAGAATCTGAATGTGCTCAGAAGAGATTCCTCGTTGTTGATCAATCAGGAGACCAAACAACTTTAATCTTTAGTCCTGGGGTCGGTGCTTCGGTTCGTTGTCTTGCATCTTGGAAGCGAAATTCTGATGGTCCTTATAATCTGTGTATGGAGGATCCTAGAACTGAAAGAGTCTTGAAAAATCTCTCTGATCCGGTTTTAACTGACGAATTTAATGACAATGATGAAAATGGTGGGGAAAGTGAGATGCATGAAGACACAGAAGAACTTGATGCCTTGCTTTACTCGGAAGATGAAGATGGCAATTCCACCGAGGATGATGAAGTTACTAGCACGGGTCATTCACCCAGCACAATGACATCGTATGATAAGCAAGATTGGTTTGAAGGAAGCACCGATGATTTCGCTAGTTCTGTTAAAATTACTAAGAAGCGGAAGCTTTTTGATGGAGGTTATGATGTTAAACCATTCCTCGATGACACTGCAAGTTCTGTAAAATGGAGCAGATCAATTGAGTTAGAGGACGATGCCGAATCTAGTTGTGCCAATGCTAAAAGTTCTGGGTTGAGAGAAATTGACTTCATGTCCCGCAACAAGAAGATAAGAAAGGAAAAGATTCGGGAAACCGTTGGCATTCTGCAGAGTATAATTCCCGATGGCAAAGGCAAAGATGCGATTGTGGTCCTCGAAGAAGCCATCCAGTACTTAAAATACTTAAAGCTCAAAGCTAAAGCTTTTGGAATTGATGCTCTCTGAGTTTCAGTTCCTTTGTGTGGTGGTACGTTGTATCTGTAATTTTTATATTAGCAGTTCCTCAATTAGAAGTCCATAAAGGGTCTATGCCGAATAAGTCCAGTACATATGCCATGGACATGAGTTTCCTGAGTTAGATGATGATAAATGCTTTTGGTCGTGAAGGAAGCCCGAACCCTTTTAGCGTTTTTCTTTTCTTCAATGATTAGATTGGAATTTTGGCTTGTGTCTTCAGTGTGATCGCTCAAGTTGGACTAGAAGGATAAAAGAGTGGCGATCATCAGTCTCTGAAGCGTTTTAGCGAAAGTATCACTTGCGTTTGGGCATGGAAGTGGTTCTGTGGTCAGAGAAGACTTGAAGTTGATTCCAGCTAGAAGAGAGTGGTATTGGTGCGCACCCCCTTTGCTGTCCTGGGGCCCTCGTCATCGTCTTTCTTTTGCCCTTTTGGTATTTTCTTGTCAAATCCAACTTTTTTGTGGGGTTTTCTTGTTCTTATGATGCATCAAAAATTTGCACGAGCGACGCAGCTTCTCCTTTCCACATTGCTACTTGCCGACGGGGCCCAAGTTCCAGATCCCTCATTTTACTAGCGTCCCCGCTTTGCTTTTCATCTGGTTTGCTAGCCATTTTAGCTAGAGAAACCAATTCATTGTTTGGAAACTCGTATTCAGACGTGTTTGTACCTGGTAGGATGTTAATTATTGTTGTTTGGTCAAGTATTTGTTTGTTGTTCTTGTTAAATATTGCTATGGTGGTTTCGGTTGTTAGAGGTGATGATAAAGTTAGGTGTGATTTAATTTTGCTTTGGCCTTATTGTTGGCCGTATGTCTCTGTACTTAAGTCGCATGCTAGCATTTATTGTATGAGACAGCGATATATTTGCATATTTGTGATACCTTTCTCTCTGTTATTGTTGCTTTATATATATATATATATATATATAATTCCAAATTATATATGATACAGATTGCGTGGTGAGGGGACCACAAAACTGAATTATTAGTGAGAGGAAGCATTCTTGCATGAGACTGAGACGCACGAGTAGGAAAGCAGTCAAAGCAGGTAGTGGAAGTAGTAGAAACCAGCGTGTAATGGGTGTGATTTGTCTATGCAAGGAGTATGGCATTTGTTTGATTTTGCATTTTGTCATTTTGCATGTAATGTGAGATTTTATTCATTTAGCTTCATGCTTTGCGTGTTGTAGTAGAGAATCTTATATGCCATTTCACAGAAGGGGTTTTTCTAAAGGTCTCGGAACATTGATGGATTGGTCTCCAAGGGAAAGAAAAAGAGTGTTGTTGCTATTGAGAATGAAAAAGATCGGTTCCCAATGATGGGAAATTGCATAATAAAAGTGCAATCTAACATAGGCTAGCTCTTCTTTTACCGATTTGTAATGGATTAAAATCAAAGAAGAGAAGGTGCTCGAAAGGGAAAGGGAAGGAAAAAGAATAAACAGAGAAACAACTATTTAATTTTATTGTATACTGGAGTCAAAAATCAGAATTGCATTAAGTAATAAACACCCAAATGATTTATAAAAGAAACATGGAGTTTCTCTAGTACGATTAGAAAAAATAAATAATTGGTAGTTATTTTACTTTTCAGGAGTTAGATTTGTATAAAAAATTATTTATTTTATATATTTTTTAAATCTGATGTAATTTTAATTAGATTAAACTGTTAGAAATTGTCCCTAACGGACCTAGCGGAGAAGGTCCAAAAAAATAATAATCACTTGTTTCATGAGAGAAAATAATAATAACTGAACACATCAAGCAACAATTTGTCGGTAGAAATTGAAATTATTGAAGAGGTGATCTCAACTACTAGGCTTTTTATGAGTTGAAATGTGGTTTTGTTTGCTTTTCACATTTGGAAAACATACCAACATCTTTTCTCTCCACGTTATTGTGATGAGAAGGCAAAACGTGGGGAAGTTGGAGAGGAATATATTCTCACCTGATTTGCGTGTGGGAGTATCCGTACTCATTTCAACATGTTCTCTCATTCTTGGGACACAAACACAACACTTTATGCAATTGTTGTGGTGTTTGAACGAGTTTCAAAATGATTTTAGAATGGAATTTGCAACTTTTGTCACGCAAGCTGCAAGTTTCTCATTTACGTGAGAGAAAAAATAAAAAGATATGTGGTCCTAAGATCAACTTGGCAAGTTAACATCAAAATGTTGACTGAGTTTTCGTGCTTTTCTAAATCATTAGTCAATTAAAGCACTGACCCATTGTTTAAAGCCATGTCATACCAAAAACAAAAAAGAAAATTACATTTATATTTGTAGAAAATGTCGTTAGGGACATGACATCCTATTGTTAAAAGTGTGCGGTTTATGTTTTTGTCTTGACTAGATCATGCGTCATATTTTTAGGCTTTTTTTTTTTTTTTTTGGCTACCAATATATTGTTAGTGTCAAGTTAAAACATTATGAGCTCTACCATTGCACGGACAACAAAACAATAGTTACTAACTGCAAACATGTCTGATTTTTTTAATATATAAATGTTAGTAATATGAAAAATTACTCTTTATGCTTGTGTGCTTTTTGAGTTTCAACAAAAAGAAGAATGAAGTAAATAGCATATTTATAGAAAATAATTGAGGTAAATAACATATTTTAAAATTATTTAAAGTAAACTAGTTTACTGTATAAATGTTTCATTTACAACTAGAAATAATATCATTTTTCACCTTAGTTTTCTTTTTACAACTAGTAAAAATATTTTTCTCCATGTAAATATAAATCTTTTACCACGAAAATTATTTTTTATCAGTCGTAAATGAATCGTTTATATGATAAACTGTTATTTATTTTAAATAATTTTAAAATATGATATTCATTTAATTTAGTTTTATAAATCTGCAATTTATTATTATTTTCCTAACACAAAAATTTATTAATTTTGCACGTTGGATCTGTGCAAAAAGCCCAAGTACCTTTCTTTGCATGGTCTCAGTCCTTTTACATTCCTACAGCCCAATCCTCATTCGGTTTCATCGGAAGCCGTATCTCCTATGGCCCAACTTTTAGACGAAAGGGTTGAGTTCAGCCATTTTCTCAAACCGCGCATAATGTAAAATAAGTCCTCTAAAGTTCTTCAGTCAGCCTTTTAAAAAAATTTCATAGACAACTTTATGGTAAAGTTTACCATCATAATCAACAAAACTCGATCAACAAAAACTCTATATAATGATAACATAAGATTAAAAGTTTAAAAAAAGATTGGTAATGTTTGGGAACAATATGCAAAAATGTTTATTATATAGAAACTAAAGCCTTATACTACTGATCAATATATATTTTTTTAAATGAGATGTATTGCATTACTTAAATAGACGCCAAATCGGAGTTAATAATGTCCAGGCCAAAAATGTTAAGAACTTCTTCTAACTAGAAAAGATCAAACTCTATAGAAATAACAAATTGTGCTAGTGTGTGGGCTGCATATAGTTGCTCTTTCGAATAACATGACAGCAAGAACCACCACCAACCTCCGGCATCAAAGCTTTGATATCCTCCAACACCAATCCCTCTACAGATAACACTCCAGCACGTCGAACATTCTTGACCACAATGGGGGAGTCTATTTCTATAATGGAAACACAAAGCATATATATACATTCAGCTGCAAAAATACTAAACGAACCAGGAGTTTTTTTAGAGAGAACACTCTTCACATCACCTGTGGAATCTCACCCTTTTAGTTCGCTTATTCGAGTTTTTAATTTAAATTGAGATACGTGACTGTTTCTGATAATTTTTTACTGTAGTAAAATTTGAATTCTAAACTCGAATGGATGAAATTTAGCCTAATTAATCCTCCTCCCTCCCCAATAGAGTTAGAATGGGGGAGAATCGAATTCTAAACTCGAATGGATGAAATTTACAGAGCCTAATTAATCCTCCTCCCTCCCCAATAGAGTTAGAATGGGGGAGAATAGAAGCATCCACATTTAATTTAAGCTGATCATGGGGTGAGGGCTGCCATCTTTGAAGCGGAGGAGCAGCCAGATCCCTATCCTTCATGCTCACTTTCTGATATGCATTTAACTCCATGAGCTAAAGAGCAGCAGCTTTGAGAATATTCTTTGGGGGTTTTATCAAACCTTCGTGTGTAAAAAGATTACGATCCTTCCAAATCATCCACGTGATTATGCAAAACAATTCAAAATCTTCCCTACAAAGCACAGATCGCATATAGAGTAAAAAAAAAAAAAAATCCATTGCATCCCTTCTGAAAGTTGAGATTTTATCCCCAAAAATGCTCTCCATCCATACGTTACTCGTAGCTCCACATCCAATGACCGCATGGAAGGCAGTTTCGGCACAATTTCTACACCTTCGGCACCCCGCTAAATCGCCAATGCCCCATCAAGACAAATTCTGCCAAGCCGGAAGAATATCATGTAAGCATCTCCAAATGAAGATTTTTAGCCTTATGGGGAATTTTTAAGTGCCATAAGAATCTTCACCACTTATGATCTGCACTCCCCTCGAAAGAAATTGCTATTTGACGAATTTGCATTGCCACCCAATAACCGAAATGAGTCTATCTTCCTTACGAGAGAAACCAACTAGAATACTAGTAATAACACCCACATCAGCCTGCAGAAAATTAGCTTGAGGGAGCGTTTGATTCCACGCCGATGGAAAGCTGAAAAGGGGGATTTAAAAGATCGGCCGCACACCACTCTTTGTTAGAAGCTGTAAGACTTGTAGAGGGTTTAAAAAAGGACGATATTAGCAGTTAGCGATCATCAAAAACTCGAATTGAAGATCCATCCCCAACTCGCCATCTACTTCCCACTTCACAATGTCCCGGTCCCAAAGCAAGCTATGCCAAATATAAGGCGAGTTAGACCCCAGCCCAGAATTGAAAAAATCTTGGAAGGGGAAATAACGCCCTTTTAGAACCCAGCTCGCAAATGAATTGGGATTTTGGATCAATCACCATATGCTTGTTTAGCCAACATTGCTTTTGAAGACCTCCAAATCACGAAAGCCTAAACCCCCCCTCCGTTTTAGGACTGCACAACTTCGTCCACACCCACCAATGCGCCGTCCTTTTCGAATCATCTCCTCCCCACCAAAATCCGGCTATCAATCTTTGCAGCTCCATACAAGGAGAATTAAGCAACCGAAAAACACTCATTGGATATGTGGGAATGGTAAGGACTACTGCCTTCACCAAAATCTCCCTCCCACCTTGAGAAAACATTTTTCCCTTCCTTAATTGTTAGCCAATTTAATTTATGAGTTAAAATATGATTTTATATAAAAAAATTTTATTGTAATAAAAAAATTAGATTTAACTGTTTTAGTGAATTTTTTATTAAGTAAAACTTAAATTATAAATTTAAATCGGTTAAATAAATAGGGTAAAAATTTAACTTTTTCCAAACCTTTTCTTTTAGCTACCAAAATCTCCCTCCCATCTTGAGAAAATATTTTCCAACCGCTTCACTGATTCGAGTTGAAATGTAATTTTATGTGAAAAATTTTTACAATAATAAAAAAATTAGATGTCACTGTTTTAAAAAATTATTTACTGTAATAAAACTCAAATCGATGAAATAAGTTGAAGTTATTTACAAACCTTTTTTTATTGCAGGGAAGGTTTGCTTTTTGTTTTTTGTTTTTTTTTTGTTTTTTTTTTTTTTCAACTAGAACGAGCAATCCAAGTATTTGTCATGAGCATGAGCCACATTAAGACCCAAATTTCTCAGGGAGTCCCCTTTAAATCTGCAGCAACGTTGGGGCTAAAATTGATGGCCGATTTTTTGAAAGTTAATCACTTGTCCAGAAGCCTTCTGATAAGAACATAATATAGACTTCAACTAGAAAGAATTGAAAGAACAAATATGATCTTTATTGACTAACAGAAATGAATTACAAGAGCAGTTCTTCGAGATACTGCCAAATATCCCTTGCTCAGCCTTAGCCAAGACTTCCTCAACAAGACTCCAGCAATTTCCTACCTCTCTATTGTCCGCTTATTCCCTATTTATACACACTACCTTATACAACTCTCAGCATTCCCACTACTAACAACTAACCACTAACTCAGCCCAGTAACCTATTACTCCCTCTTGCCTTTCTGAACATACACCTGTTTAAGCAAAGGCTTATCAATTACTCCGCCCCCCAAAAAAGTCACATTGTCCTCAAGGTGAAATTCAGGAAACTGCTGCTAGATGACATTGAAAAGCTCCCAAGAAGACTCAAAATTTGGCAAGTGACGCCACTGCAGCAAGACTTCCAATTGCCCAGTCACCTGAGAGAAACGAGTAGCCAACAACCTTTCCGGTTCCACGCGTAACTCAGTTAAAATGAGCGGAACCTCCTGGGCTGGAACAGCAAGGCCAATGACTTTCTTAAGCTGTGAAACATGGAAGACCGGATGAATTTTGGCAGCCTCGGGCAGTCGCAACTGATATGCCACCGAGCCCACACGCGCAATCACCTTATAGGGACCATAAAACCGTGGAGATAGCTTTTCATTAGTAAACTTGGCCAACGAATGATGGCATTATGGCCTGAGTTTCAGGAACACTAAATCCCCCACTTCAAAGGACACATCCCGGCACTTGAGATCTGCTTGCCATTTCATGGATTGTTGGGCCTAAAACAAATGTGCTTGAAGCTCATCCAAAATAGCATCCCGCGATTGCAGTTGCTGCTCTAACAAAGAGTTAGCTGTTGAGCCTAACTCAAAGCTTAGTAATTTGGAAGGATCACGACCATATAAAGCCCGGAAAGGAGTCATTCCTACATACACATGGAAGCTCATGTTATACCAGTATTCGGCCCAAGCAAGATGAGAAAACCAATGGGTAGGTTTTCCGGAGACAAAGCAGCGTAAATAAGCTTCCAAGCACCTATTCACCACCTCCGTTTGGCCATCCATTTGAGGATGGTAAGCCGTACTATGATGTAAGGCAGTACCCTGCAACTTAAAGAGCTCATTCCAGAAATGACTGAGAAATACCTTGTCGAGGTCGGACACAATAGTCCGAGGAAATCCATGGAGCCAAACCACCTCCTTAACAAACAGGGCAGCCACGAACTTAGCAGAAAAAGGATGGCGAAGACCCAAAAAGTGAGCATACTTACTCAACCGGTCAACAATCACTAAAATGGAGTCATTACCGGCCGACTTTGGAAGGCCCTCCACAAAATCCATGGAAATATCATCCCACACCTGATTTGGAAGAGGCAATGGCTGTAATAACCCCCCGGAGACAAAGTGGAAACCTTGTTTTGTTGACAAACTTAACAAGCCGCCACAAAAGAGACCACATCCTATTTCATGCCATACCAAAAGAACTCCGAAGACAACCGTTTATATGTCTTTAGACTCCAGAATGACCTCCAATCTTACTGCCATGAAACTCTCCCAAAAGGACTGGTGTGAGAGGAGACTGTCGAGGCAGGGCTACACGACCCTTGTAAAGCAACATGTCATTGCACAAGGAGAACCCACCCCTTCACAGTGGCAGAATTAGCACACAGAGCAGCCTGAATTAACGACAATCTCGGGTCCTGTTGAATTTTTTGGCAAATTCCATCCCCATCATAAAGCGCATAAGTGGTAAGGTGCAACAACTCCAAACCAGTGGGCTGCCTTGACAAAGCATCAGCCACTCGATTCTCAGAACCGGGTTTGTACTAGATCTCAAAATCATAATCCAACAATTTGCACAACCACTTTTGGTGGTCCTCACTGACTAACCTCTGCTCCAATAAGAACTTAAGGCTTCTCTAGTCCGTACGAACAATGAAATGGCGCCCGAGTAAATAATGGCACCACTACCATCAACTCGCGCTCATACACAGATTTTGTACGAGCCCTAGACGACAACACCTGACTGAAATAGGCTATTGATCTCTGATGTTGCATTAAAACCGCGCCAATTCTAAACCCCGAAGCATCCGATTCGACTACAAATGGCTGGGAAAAATCTGGTAGGGAGAGAACTGGGACAGTAGTCATAGCCTGCTTCAATTTCTGAAAAGCGGTTTCAGCTTCTGTCGACCAATGAAAACTGTCATTTTTTAATTGTTGCGTCAACGGCCAAGCAAGATGTCCATACCCAGCCACAAAGCGCCGGTAATAACCGGTCAAACCAAGAAAACCACATAACTCCTTGAGAGAACGAGGAGTCGGCCAATCCAACATCGCTTGAATCTTACTAGCATCCGCATAAACGCCTTCCCCCGACACAATGTGGCCCAAATATTCCAACTGGCTACTAGCGAAAGTGCATTTTTTTTTATTAACATATAAATGGTTGTTCTCTAAGGCAATCAAAACCATATCCATATGATTGACATGTCCCTCAAAGGACTTACTGTAAACCAAAATGTCATCAAAAAATACTAACACAAATTTCCTCAAAAAAGGCTTCAATACCTCATTCATCAAAGATTGGAAAGTGGCTGGGGCATTGGTCAAAGGGCATCACCAAAAATTCGTAGTGACCCTTATGGGTCCGGAAAGTAGTTTTCGGAATATCCTCTTTGCACATCCGAATTTGGTGGTAACCGGATTTTAAATCTAATTTAATAACAATGGTGGCACCACACAATTCGTCCAAAAGCTCTTCTATTACTGGAATAGGAAACTTGTCTGGAACTGTAGCTTTGTTGAGTGCTCGATAATCAACACAGAAATGCCAACTGCCATCTTTTTTTTTAACTAAGAGATCTGGACTAGAAAATGGGCTGCTACTCGGTTGAACGATCACAGCCGCTAGCATATCTCGAACCAACTTTTCAATCTCATTCTTTTGGAAATGAGGATATTTGTAGGGCATGACGCTAATAGGAGCGGTACCCTCCTGAAGAATAATACGATGATCACGCATTCGTTGGGGAGGCAGTTCATTCGGCATATGTAAGACCCCCGAATGACGCTGCAAGACTTCACGAATCTGCTCTTGCAGTTGCTGGTCGGGTTCCCTGGTTGCATCCAAATTCGGTTCCTTGTTTGCATCCAAGGCACACAATTCTAAAAAAATGCCATGGCCCTCATGCTTTATAGTCCTAACCATGGCCTTAAGAGAAACCATAGTGGTGGAAAGGCTCATGTCTCCCTTAAAAATAACTACTTCTTCCCTCACCTTGAATTTCATTACTTGGGACTTCCAATTCACATGCATTCCTCCCAACGTTTCCAACCATTGTATGCCTAGAATAACATCCACTCCCCCCAATTCCAGAGGCAAAAAGTTTTCCACAATAGTCAAATGTGATAAACTCAATGCTACCTCCCTACAAATTCCTTTTCCCCTAGGAATCGACAATCTCTCAACAAGACTCAAAGAAATAAAATTGTGAGTCATACCGGAATCAATTAAAACGATTACCTATTGCTGAGCAATCAAGCCGCGAAGCTTCATAGTTTTAGGTGTTGAAAGGCCCATCACCGAGTTCAAGGATAACTCAATGAGTTCAAGTTGCCCCTTCTCCCAATCAGGACTCGGCAGAACCAGGACTTCCTCTTCACAATCATCTGCGTCCTCATCACTCACAAGCATTATCCGCAGCTCCTTCTTCTTACATCGATGACCAAAGGTGAACTTCTCATCGTACCTAAAACATAACCCATTATCTCTCTTTTCTTGCAACTCGGAATCCGACAACTTACGAAATGGAAAATCTCGCTTTTTAGTTGTCGTTTGCTCTAAAGAAGCAGGAACTCTAGGTGGTCGCTCTACCACCGGCATCGATCGAACCGGAATTGGTGAAAATTCAGCTCTCGAGACACTATGTGGTTATGTTCTCGAAAACCTTGTTTCCGACCCCTCCCGACGAAGCAACTCATTTTTTTCTTCGATCCTTTGAGCAATCTCCATAATTTCTCCTAACCCCACCGGTTTCAAGAGCCGCAATTCAGCCCAAACCTGTGCCTTTAATCCATTAACAAAAATCCCTTCCAAAACCTCTTCTGGCACATCCCGAAGTGAGGCTGCCGAAGCTTCAAATTTCTTACGATATTCGGCCACCGTACCTACTTGTCGAATCGCTAAAAACCTCTCACAAAGATTCCCCTCCTACGAAGAATGAAAACGCTGCAGCAATGACACCTTAAATTCTGCCGAACTATGGAAGGGTCTGCGGCCATTCTGCCATTGGAACCAAGACAAAGCATCACCCTCTAATGCTATTCCAGAGGTGATCAATTTTTCCCTTTCCGAACATCGACTGATGGAGAAAAACTGTTCCATACGGAACACCTAGCCATTGGGGTCATCCCTGCTAAAGATTGGGCACTCCACTTGCCCCCCTCGAGAAGTCACCCATTCCTCACCGGTAATTCCTCAAAAACACCTCTGCCCTCCCAAACCTTTCATAAACCGTACACCCACATTAAGGTTTCTTCCTCTTTCCACTACTCGGTGAACAGGGCCGCCAAATCCCTTCCACAGTTCATCGAATTCCAGGGCCTCCCCTTCCATATAAGCACCACGCCCTTCACCACGTTGTCCATACCCATTTTTCCCATGGGTACCCATCGAAAACTCCCTAGCCAACCCACGCCCCCCTCTCTCTCTTCGCGACCAAGATTCCGCGGAATCCTTAAATCCGCCGTATGATCTTTGCCCTTCTTGCGCAACCCAGTGCCTCTCGCTGGAAAAATCACGTTCTGTGAAACCCTAGGATCCATCGACCATTCTTCCTGTCTCGCGCAACACCCAGAGGTTCCTGCATGGTGTGATTTCGCAGCTCCAGCATGAATCGTCTCGCGATCTCCGACGTGATTCACCTCGCGAACTTCTCTGGCGTGATTGGTCTCGCGTTCCTCTACGATCGCGGTCGTTGGAGCAACTGTCTTCTCCGGCACCGACGTTGGAGCCATGAAAAATTTCATCTGTTCTTCCATCAACTGACGAATCTCATTGAGATTCTGAATAAATTCCACCCTATTTTGGGATAATTCCACCCTAACCTCCCCGATCCCTTTCTCCATCTCACCGATTCCCTTTTCCACCGAAGACGCAACTTCCTTAATCTCTTTCTCTACTAATTCGAATCTTTCATCAGTTTTCGTACTCGCCATCACTGCCCAGAATTGATGCTCTGATACCAAAATGATAAGAACAGAATATAGACTTCAACTAGAAAGAATTGAAAGAACGAATATGATCTTTGTTGACTAACAGAAATGAATTACAAGAGCAGTTCTTCGAGATACTTCCAAATCTCCCCTGCTCAGCCTTAGCCAAGACTTCCTTAACAAGACTCCAGTAATTTCCTACCTCTCTATTGTCCGCTTATTCCCTATTTATACACATTACCTTATACAACTCTCAACATTCCCACTACTAACAACTAACCACTAACTCAGCCCAGTAACCTATTACTCCCTCTTGCCTTTTCAAACATACACCTGCTTAAGTAAAGGCTTATCAGGCTTATCACCTTTTTAGACCATTGCAGCGCCCCTTTAATTTTAGAGCACTCCACCTCATTAGCTTTTCAAAACACTAAACTATCATAAGCAAAAAAAGAGGTTACTAACCTTTGGGGTCGGTCAAGCACAAGCGAAGCAAAAATTTTCCCCGTGTTATTCTATTTCAGTGATTGTCGTTGATAATCCTTCTACACGCAAAAGGAACATGTATGGGGACAAAGAAATTACCCAAAGGCTCCCCATTAATTAGAAAGGAAAAATTGGTAGTCGAAATACACCTCATAATCAAAGAGATCATCGCCTATGAAAGCCGAGCTTACGCTCATATGATCTAGAAAGCTCCATTCTGCTTTGTCATAAGCCTTACTCATATCCAGATTCAGCGCTAACCATCCCGTCCTCCCATTATTTTTCATTTCCATGGCATGCATCATCTCAAATGCGACAATAACATTTCTCATTTATTTTACCGATTTGAGTTTTTAATTTTAAGCTTTTACAGTTAAAAGCTGAAAATATCACATCCAACTTTTTTTATTACAATTAAAAACTCTAAAAAAAAATGATCATATCTCAACTTAAATTAAAAACTCGAATCCGCAAAACGAACGAGACCTCAATTATTAGCCGGCCTGGCACTGACGTACTCTACGAAAGTGAAATAACCTCATATAAAACATTTTTCAATCTATTAACTATTGCCTTTGTGACAATCTTGTAAATTGCATAAACTAATAAGTCGAAAATCAGATACCTTTTTAAGAGACTTAACTTTTGGAATAAGGCAAGCAAAAGTGTAGTTCCACCCCTCCACAGATGCGCCGTCATTAAGAATTCAGAGGCAGGAGTTAAACTACAATATTTCCAACCACATTTAAGGTTTTCTGAAAGAAATGCAGCATGAAAACCGTTAGGACCCGATGCCTTAATACTGTGCATATCAAACAATGCTTGATGAACATCCGTCGCGGTAAAAAGGGCGATTGAAAACTCATTCATTTCGGGAGAAATGCACTCATTTATATTATGAAACAATTGACAAATTTTAATAAGAGGTATTTAAAATAGATAGTTTATATGGTTATCGTTGAAAATTAGGCCACAATTCCACAAGCCTGCATCCACTACAAGGTACAAAACGATAATCGACCTAGAGGAATACCCCTTTTAAAGGTTAGTATTTGAATAAAAATATATTTATGCGGAACAATTTGAGAAATAAATTTAACAGAATTAAAAGGTGAAAATAACCTCTTTTAATTTAAAGAGGTTCTCACAAAAATTTAAATTTAATTTTTTTATTATAATATTTTTCTCTCACATACACAACTCAAATCATAACTTGAGTTATGTAAATAAACATATCTTTAATAAGTAAACCAAATTTTAGGTGTGGTATTATATATATTTTGTTTTTGAGATATTTAGAGAAATATTTCACTGAATATATAAATTTTGTTATTTTTGGATATTATATATAAGATATATACTTTAATTTTCTCAAATTATATAATAAACTCAAAAGGGTGAATAAAGAAGCTCATGTTACCCTGAAAAAAAAAAATAAAGGGTGAATTTTTAAAATTCAAATGCACAAAATTGAACTATTAAAGGCCTCGTTCATTTAACCGATTCGAGTTTTTAATTTTAAATTTTTACAGTAAAAATTTTTTAAAAAATATTATATCTAATTTTTTTTATTATAATAAAAAGTTTTAAAAAAAATGTCAAATTTTAACTCAAATTAAAAATTTTAATTTATGAAGTCAACGATGGCCATTCTTTCAAAAACAAAAAACTATTGAAGGGATGAGCTAAGGAACAGATTTCCTAAAGCACCATAAACATCCGTTAACATGAGCACCCACATCATCTCTAACCGACAGAACACCCATAAAATCGAAATATCAAAGATCAACGGTGCTTAGACCCTTATACAACACTAGAACCTCCTCCACTAAACATAATCCCCTACTATTGCTTCGTAATATTTAGAAATATAAAAATAATTTAATAGTGAATTAAATAATAAAACCCTTACACAAGCATCATTGCTTTCGTGTCACTTACCAAGAATCCCCGCAAAACAATATAATAAATTGGCATGTTGGTAGTCTGTTAGCATAATAAATGAATTAGAGGTTTAGTTAATAAATTTAAAATTATTTTTAATTTATATATATTTTTTATAAAAAAAATATATTATAATAAATTATGAATTATGATTTAAATTATTATATAAATTTTTTTATTAAATATCTTATTTTTTTAATAATTATTTTATTAAAAGTCAATTTTTAATTTATAAATTTAATAAAAATCACATTAAATTAAAAAAATATAAAAAATAAATATTTTTAATATAAATTTAACTATTAAAAAATAAAAACAACCTACCGCCGTTATTTTTTCTAATCAAAACTTTCTAATGAATTATTATTATACAATTAAGAACACAATTGAACCCAAAAAGTTCGAAAATAAATAAACATATCTCTCAAATAAAAAAAAGAATAAAAAAAGAAAGAGAAGAAGCAAAGGAAAGGAGAGTGTGGAAGGATCGGAACACCGCTTTTTCTGCAAAATTCTGCAGAGATTGTACGACGGACGTACGGACGCGATATTGCTAGGGCTTTTTCGAGCTTTCTTCGTCGCCTTCAATGGAGTCCTGGGGTTTTCACGACGGCCATATCCACAATTTGCTTCAGAGACGATACGTCGATGGCAGCCGACAGGTTTTTTCTCCATTGTTCTCTTCAATGCTCGTTTTGTCAATTCACTTGCTTCTGATTGTAATCTCAAAAAAAGAAAAAAAAACTGGTATTTCCTTTGTTTTTATGTATGATTTGCTCGGTGAACTTCTCTTCAATGCTCGTTTTGTCAATTCACTTGCTTCTGATTGTAATCTCAAAAAAAGAAAAAAAAAACTGGTATTTCCTTTGTTTTTATGTATGATTTGCTCGGTGAAGTTCACTACTTGTGTGCTGTTTTGACGAATATATTGCAATTTAATCGGTTTCAAATGCGTTAAGGATTATTATTATTATTTTCTTTTTTTTTTTGTAAATTTGTTAAGTGAAGTGAAAATTGAGCTTCAGCGGAAAACCAGGGAAGAATTAGAACGCAGTTTACATTTTACAAGCTAGGAAATTGCTAAACATTGAGTTCTTTCTTCCAGAGGAATTTATTTTATGAAAGGTTTAATGTGCTAATTTCAAGAAAAAAATAAAAAATAAAGCAAATAATTATGATCAATCTTGTTTTATAGATACCAGTTGCAATTTTACGGTTTGGGAACCTGTTACCATTTGGCATTTGCGATTATTTTCTATTTTTGGTGGTCTCTCGCATTTCCGAAAATTCGACACAGATGAAGTAGGCTAAGGGCGAATGAATTTTTGCTGTATTATTTTTTCCCTCTTCCAGAGTGTAGTTCAGACTTCAGAACTTCTTTTTTTTTTTGTTTTTGTTTTTTGTGAGGCAGAAGAAATATATTGCCTGATTAACAGATAAGTTTCATGCGTTTTCGTTGTAAGCTTGAATAATTAGGTATGGACTTATAATTAGGAATAAAATTGGTTCAAATTGCGATAGTGTACTTTTTCAATATGTTTTATTGGTCACTACAACCGGCTATGGTGGCCTAGTGTTAATTGTGCTTTCGATTATGTTGTTATAGACTTCTTATTGATTTTTTTAATATAATACTTTTCTTTGATCTTTGTGTTTATGCAGGATGTAAATCGTAGTTTGCAGATTCACTCTTCATTGATACGAAGGCTTTCTCAGGAAAGAGAATTGGAGGTTGGTTGAACCCTTTGTGTCATTGTATATGATGATGAAATATTGCTGTCTAATTTGTTCTTATAAGGGGGCTTTCATTCTTTCACTCGGCATTTTACTCTACCATTCTACCTATCGGGTCATTGCCATCTCTATGTTATTATTTTTTATTTACAGTAGGTAGAAGTTTGCCAGTTGGAGATATAGACTTTATGTATCTGAGAGGTCCATAGAATATCCTTGCAAGTCTCCTTGGGATATGAAGATTGAAGTTCCAACAATAGTAAATATCCAAAGTTTACTGATTTGAATTCTTAATTCACGAATGTAAGATATTCATATGTTTTGGGGCACCTTGATGTTTCACTGGGTACATTATTTTAGTTTCTGCTCAATGGCGATTTGACGTGGATGAAATTTGTTGTTGTTTTTATTTTAGATTGATTGTAGTATACGTTTTATGTTCATATGTCGGTCAACTTTAGGTAGTAATATTCTTTTTGGATAATTCATAGCTTTGCTGTTTTCACGTTGTGTCTACGTAATTCCTTCCTGTCATCAGAAGTAGATGCTATAAAGTTATGTATTTTCTGCTTTTCCATGTTTAACCAAGCTGCCTACCCAACTACTTCTTTATTCATCTCTAATGAATTATTGAAGTTGGGACTAATTTTAAAAGATTGGTCTTGAGCCAGAAGGCATAAAATATTAGCTGATTGCAAATTTTTGTGCGTTTGTAGTTGGAAAAATTAGTCTTTAAGGTTTTTTTCTCTCTATTTACAGGGGCATCAAGGTTGTGTTAATGCAATTTCTTGGAATTCCAGCGGTTCACTTATGATATCTGGGTCAGATGACACACGGGTATGAATTCTTAATATTTTTGTTTTAAACGCAGAGCATGGGTATAGCAGAAAAAACCTCCAAGGGGATTTCGCAGTTTGGTATAAACTAACTAAAAATCGGATAGAGATCTTGCAAAATCATGAAAAAGTGTTGCTAATGCTCCCCAACTACAGAATAAAAGGAAAAGATTTTGTACTAGCTTTGAGGTAATCAACACTTATATTTTTAGAGCCCGTTTGGAAAGTGTATTTGAAACATGATTTGGGTTTTGATTCAAATTCTTTGTGAGAGAACTATTGGCGGGAATTTTTTTTATTCAAATTCTTTGTGAGAGGAAAAACACTGTAGCCGAATGGTTTGGGTTTGAATACATGTACCAAACAACCCCTTAGTTCTTCAAGTTTGAGGTCTTAAAGTCAAAATTACATTTCTATCTGGTGTCATATATTTGAAATGATTGTGGGTCTTCTAGTTCAAGTTATGATTTGTGAGACTTGCGTGAGATTTTACCTGCACTTGGGTTAATGAATGCACCATGAATTCGCTTATTTTAACATTAAGAACTAGTTTTTCAGGTGAGATAGTTGTAGGGGTCTTCCGTTTCAAGGTCTGATTCATAAGAGTTGCATGGGATTTTACCTGCACTAAGGAATGAATAACTGAGTGCATTAAGAATGTGCTTATCTAAACAATAAGAAATAGGTTTTCAGGTGAGATAGTTGTGGGCCAAATGCTAATTCACTGATATGTCTGAGGAACATTCTAATAAAAAAAAGGTCATTTTCTCACCTCTTTGGTAACTGCATAAGCATATGTGAGCACACAGACGCACTGTGGCTTAGTATAATACTAATGGTACTATCTAAATTTGCAAAATACCAGAGATATCGGTAATTGTATGAGATTGATTAAGATTTCACCCTGCTCTGGCAGCCCTCCACCATCACACACTTTTTAGGGGGAAAAAAAGCCACTTGAGTTCAGCTCAAATGGTTGGGTGTGTGAGTGTGTGCGTGTGTCCACCAGTAGAGCCTTAGTGGTTTTATTTCTTATTGTGTGTGTGTCCACCAGCAGAACCTTAGTAGTTTCATTTCTTATTAGTAAAGTGGGAGCCGAGAACCGCACCGTAAATGCTAATGCTTCTAGTTTTGTACTATTTCCTGCAGATCAACATATGGAGCTACTCTAAAAGGAACCTTTTGCATTCTATAGACACTGGGCACTGTGCAAACATATTTTGTGCAAAATTCATCCCTGAAACTGGTGACGAACTTGTGGTCTCTGGAGCAGGAGATGCAGAAGTAATATTCTGATAATTGGAGCTTCTATTCAATCTATTTTATGCTTTCATTTGAGCTCTGTCGTAATGTTGCAATTACTGATTTTATGCAGGTTCGGCTGTTTAATTTGTCACGATTAAGCGGGAGAGGATCTAACAGCAATGCTATTTCTCCATCAGCTCTGTATCAATGCCACACAAGAAGAGTGAAAAAATTAGCGGTGAGCTCTCGTCAAGTTGAAAATATATTGAATTAAGAATATCTTTTCTTGTTTGGTAACTTCCCTTTGCTTCACTAAACGCTGCTGCTTCGCTGCTGCTTCCTATTACAGGTTGAAGTTGGAAATCCAAATGTTGTATGGAGTGCAAGTGAAGATGGGACTTTGAGGCAGCATGATCTTCGTGAAGGCACTTCATGTCGTCCTGCTGGGTCTTCTCACCAAGAATGTCAAAATATTTTAGTAAGTAGATCTTATCATTGATTTACTATTTGCCTACTTATTTTGAGGCAATGAGCTTTTTTCATAGCTTTTTGAATAATTTGTTTTCTTTATTAATTGGTTTTTTAAGTAAAAACATTTGTGAGGTTAACGCTTCGAAATAAATTCATGAGGTTATATTAACTACAAATGTGTGGGGTCATCTCTCTTGAAATAATTTCGTAAGTTTATATTGACTTCTCCATATTTCAGATCCAGATCTTTCGCATACAAAAATTTACTTGACTGGCTTTTAATGATTATTTAACTTGTATTTCTTTTGTAAGCTCAGATTAACGTGCTTTTAGTTTAAACGGTTTCCTTTTTATTTTTTTCTATTATTTTTTCCCCGCACCCTTGGAGATCTGATTTTCACATATAGTCCTAAATGGCAGCTTGATTTGCGATGTGAAGCAAAGAGGTCTCTAGCTGATCCTCCCAGACAAACTCTTGCTCTGAAATCTTGTGATATCAGTGCCTCTAGGCCACATTTGCTCCTAGTTGGTGGAAGGTACATTGTTGTTTATTGAATTGCACAATGGTTAGTATTTTGACTCTTACTTTTCCTTTTGAGCTTATATCTCGTTCCTGAATGTTTGCAGTGATTCTTTTGCACGGTTATATGACAGAAGGATGCTGCCACCGCTGTCCTCCAGTCAGAAAAGAATGTCACCTCCTCCTTGTGTTAACTATTTCTGTCCAATGCATCTTTCTGATCGTGTTAGTTGAGAATCTTGTGATTATCTTATGTCTGCTATCTACCATATTTAATTATTTCTTGTAACTGGAATGTTTCCTATAGTCTATTTCTATAATATTTGCATCTTCCTTTTTGGGTGGTTGCGGGGGGTGAATTCTTACTATCCTCACTTACCATTTTAGCAGCTTAACATTACGATCATGCTTGTATATTTAAACTTTCCTTGCATTATTTATCTGTAGTTGAGACTTACAGTTGAATTTATCATTATTCATTTTCCTTTTTAATCTTTTTACAGGGACATTCAAGTTTGCATCTAACGCATGTTACATTTAGTCCAGACGGAGAAGAAGTTCTTCTTAGTTACAGTGGGGAGCATGTCTATTTGATGGATGTCAATCATGGTATGTCAAGATGCGTCCACCTTGAGTTTTTGCCAGTGAATATTCTCAAGCATTTTGTGATTTTATTATCCAATCTTCTTGAGAATGACACTCCCCTTTTTGGTCACTTTGAAAGCAAGTTCAAAGTTCTATGATTTTGGCCACTCCTTTTTTGGTCTCTCGTTTATGATATATGAGTTTGGTACCTTGTGTTGTATCGAAATATGAGTTTAGTACCCTGTGTTTTTGATAATTTGATGCTGGTACCTCGACGTTTTAGAAAATCTTCTTTTAGTACCTTGAGACTCTTTTTTGTGACATGAAATGATTTATACCCTTGTACATCATTTGTCTAGAATTTTTTTATAAATTTATTAAAAATATTTTTGAAAAACATAAAATAGAAATGAGAAAAACTAAACAATTCATCTTCATCCTCTAATCTGTAATCATTAAGAAAATTATCAAAATAATTCAAACATGCCTAAATCAAGAAAAACATATCTGAGAAACATCAAGAATCAAAATTAAAACCAAATCAGATATACCAAAATCAAACCGATCAATCTGTTGGAAAATCAAAATGAAAACCAAAATCAAACCGTTTTAATATGCATACATCCCCCCAAAAAAAAAAATCTACCAAAATCAAATCAAAACCCCAATTCAAATATGAGAAACACAACACACCACCACCCACCACCTATGCAAATCACAAACCCAGATCTGTTTTTTGATAAAAGAAAAAAAAAAAAAAGAAAGAAATCTCAACCCAAATCAATCTCACCATCGACCACAACCCCTTGATCCCACCATCCAGTCCGTCCTTGGTGTCAAGCATACCCATCCCTCCTAACTCTGCCATCCAATCCCAAATACAAAGTAGTTCTCTCCCTCTCTCTCAGAGCCCTTCTCCTCTTCACCAGATCACATCACCGCCGGTCCTCGTCCCCGAGCCCATATCTGCATCACCATCCATCATCAGCCCCTTTGACAAGCTCCGCCACGCCCAAGTCGGAAATTTGCGTCCAAAAAGGGAGAATTTGTCGAGAGAAAAGAGGAGAGAGAGATTGTTATGATAATTTTTGTTAAAGTTTTTTTTTTTTAATTTTTAAATATTTAAAACTATTTTTAGAATTTTTTTAAAATTTATTAGTTTTTTTTACCTCAGGGCACCGAAAGAAGATTTTCTAAAACGTCAAGGTACCGACATGAAATTATCGAAAACGCAGGGCACCAAACTCATATTTCGATATAACACAGGGTACTAAAATGAAATTTCCCTATAACATATGCCAAGTTTAGATCATTGCATTGGAGAGTTTATTTCCTACTCAAATGCTAAAATTATTGGAGATGCTCTTGGTTTAGTCCTAAGGTGCTGACACTAGTGTGGACAGAAACCATAAGTATTGACAGGGTCAGAGATGAAGAAAGAGAATTGCAACTTACATTCCATCTAATTAGAAAAAAGAGCAGCAATGAAATTCCAGATTAGTTGCATTCAATCGAAGACCTTTGAACGCTAATGCTAGTGGATATTGCCTAATGAATCTCCTAGCTAAGCTACTAGAGCATTTTTGTGGTATTTTGTGAAGGCAAACTAGAGACATTTTATCCGGTAATGTAATTGATACATGGAACGTGACTACTTATTAGATTAGGACCATAACTTGATCTAATCAAAAGAAAAAGGTCGTATGCTCTCTCTCTCTCTCTCTCTCTCTCTCTCTCTCTCTCTCTCTCTCTCTCTCTCTCTCTCTCTCTCTCTCTCTCTCTCTGTAGAATATCTACTTGCTACGAAGAGATTGTCTTGTCACTAGATTGAAATAGCTTTATTCTACTTTCTTTGTGCTATAGAGTTTTTGTTATTACTATTGTCTCTTGAATTTTGTTTTCTGGTATGCTGCCAACATAAATCAGCATGATTGGCCATAATGTGTGTGAAACTTATACGAGGAGTCAGTTTCTGTCATTGCGTTGTAGATTACATGTGATGTGTTATTGATATCCAGTGGTTTTCTGTTCAAATTAAGAAGTGCTTGCTAAATTCGTGGTTTGACATTGAAAAATGGTGTCGGCCCAGATGGAGAATTTTGCTCAGTCAATTTCCTTATTATTATTATTATTATTATCATTTTTTTGCCAGCCGGTGGCAGTTCTATGCAGTATACCCCAGCAGATGTTTCTCTGTTAACGAGCTTCACACCTGTACTAAATAGAGTGGAACCACCATCTAATGTCTTCCAGAATGATCATTCTAAGGAAAGAATTACTACTGTAAGTATACATATCTTTCCTCTTTTTTCTTATCTTTCCATGCATCTTTCTTTTGGTGATCTTAATGTGGGATCTTTTAAAAGTTAAATGTTTCCTCGCTTAACATGGTTTTTTCAGCTTGACAAGTGCAAGAAGCTAATCCAAATTGCTCAAAGATCCTTGGAGGAGGGAACAAATTACTTTTACGGTATTGAGGCCTGCAATGAAGTATTGGATGGATGTGGTCGTTATATTGGGCCTTCAATGAAGCATGAATGTCTCTGTACGCGTGCAGCGTTGCTGCTTAAGGTTCTTGATACTTCTTCTTAAGTTGGAGGGTTTGAAATTCCCACCCAGAAGCCCAAAAAAAAGTTTTAAATCCCCCCCCACGCGCCCCCCCCCCCCCCTCTGTGTGCGTAAGTGTTTGCCTTGTTTTGAAATGTACTGATTGTTCATCTTCTCCCCAATTTTTTTCCCCATCCAGCGGAAGTGGAAAAATGATGTCCATATGGCTATTAGAGACTGCTATAATGCTCGTAGATTTGATAGCTCCTCTTTTAAGGCGCATTACTATATGTCTGAAGCTTTATCTCAGGTATTTTTCTCTTCTTCTTCTTCTTCTTGTTTGTTGCTTGGGAATTGAATTTCAGAGGATGATTATTGTCATCAACCGTTTAGTATAATTTGTCTCATTCCTATAAATCATAGTAAGGCAGGATGACTTTATGTCTTATTAACTAAGGTTCGAAACGTGGCTTTGTTACAAAAGAAATCTTGTTTCTTTGATATTTTATTCACTTATATTATCTTTCTTCCTTGGTTGTGAACAAGAAAAAGCATAAATAGAAGACTAAAGATGAAATATGGATGATTTCAAATTGGACTATTTACTGAAGCATTATTCAAGGTAGCTTTCTATTTAACTTAGGGCTTGTTTGGCATTTCTTTCTGTAGACTGCTTTGGATTCCTGAGTGTAGAAGGTGTTATTGGGAGTGTTGGATAATTTTTTGAAGAAGAGATTTGGACTTGTAAATTGGCTTCCTGTCAAAGTCACAAAATGTGGCTTCTGATAGAGCTGTTCTAAGAAGATTTTCAAGCTTTTACTAAAGCTTTTATATGAATTTATAAACTTCACTCTTAACAATTTTATTGATTTTTAAAAATTTTAAGCATCATTTTTGTCCCATTAAGCACTTTCTAAAATGTGTATCCAAACACTCACTGAAATCATAGCTTTTAGCCTTTTACTTCTCTTCCTTTACTGCCTAGAAGCATAAGCAATGTCAAACATGCCCTTATTTATGGTTAACTTATGGGAAGTTAAATGTAGTTTCTGCAACTTTGTAAGATAGTTGAGCATTACGAGCCTAGTTCTTTCATGTTAACTTCCCATAATCCATCTGGTCCAATTTCTTTGTTAATGGTTCCCATATTTTCACATTGTGCATATGTTCTTGTGGCTGGGAAATTGTAAAAAGAAATCATTCTTCCTTCTCAAATAAACAATTATTAAAAGAAAAAAAAATCTAAAACATGGAGGCCTTGCAATTGAAAGACTTTGGTGCAGTCATCTTCTAATTTTATTAGGTGTGGATATACTGTTGGAAATTTTTTTAGTTTGAGGCCATGCTGTGATGATTATGTGATATGGTTCATAATTTTCTTTCTTTTTATGACTTAAGCTGATTTCGCGGTACTCTTCCCATTTGTTGTTTGCAGCATTTATATTTTTAATTTCTGTTTTCATGCAGTTGGGCAAGCATAAAGAAGCTCTAGATTTTGCCTATGCGGCTCAACTTTTGGCCCCTTCCAATTGTGATGTTACAGAAAGAGTTGAGAGTGTAAAAAAGGACCTTGCTGCAGGTTTCTGGCTCTAAATGTCTTCTACATTCTTTTGTTGCACAATTTGTAGTTTCTTATTGACCTGGCTTTTGACTTTATTTGTTGCCTACTTTTATGGTCACACTGTCTTAGAGCCAAAGCTTCATGCATGTTCTCTCCGTATATCCTTTGCTCTGTTTCAATTGTGTAGCCTGTAGCGTGGTACCATGTTGACCATGTTGGCCTTTTTTTTTTTTTTAATTTTTATTCATTATTGTGTGAAGACAACTTATTGCAAATTGTTAATTCTCTCTCCTCATGGAGAAAGATTTCTGGTAAATATAATTGCACATTAAGCCAACAGTATAACTTTAAGAAGGAAGAAGCAGAATCTACCATCCAGTAGCTTTCATTTTATCTTCCCTTTTGATGGGCAATATATATTTCTTGTTTTCTCTCTAAAGGCCAAATGATTCTAAAATAAAAAGCTTTTGGGAGGTATTTTCGAAAACGTGCAAGGGGGATATCCTCCGAGCCACTTAGTGAACTTTATTTTGAAAATCAAGTTGAAGCCCGGTTTCCTCTCAATTGTACACTGGGACATTCTTTTTTTCTTACTTAAAAAGTCATTTGCCTGTTTTTCATTTGGCCCCTTTTCGCGTATTCTTTATTATTTTCTATTTTTTTCTGGGGTGGGGCTGGGCAGATTAGAATAAAGGGGCTTCTTTTAATTTAGTTCAATCTGCTGTGTGAACCTCTAAATTTACAATGTATTACCTTTCATTCTTATTTGTTTTCAATTGAAATTGAAATTTAATTGATTTGTGAATGGTATAGGAATATATTGTTCATACTTCAATATTAGGGTTTATTTTTTTGAAAATGGAATCTTAGTATGAAACGTGTTTGTTATTCGGCATCCTGCCAGGGATTTAGTTGAACATTTAAGTTCTGTCACAAATAACATGCTATTTGCTATTTTGAAGAGTCCAGGTATTTGAAGGTAGATTGGCATCTAGTTGTAATTCCTGGCACAACCCCCTCATGTTTGGTTGTTATTGGGACCGAGCCCTGCATTATCTTTCAATAGGGGATAAAGTAGGATGGCTGGTGCTAGTTCTCTTTTTCCTTTTCGTTGTGAACTTGTGAAATTTGATTATTTTATTGGATTGGCTAGGTGAAGCTGAAATAAATAATAAGGCAGATGATGGAGCATCAAGGTCTGAATCTCGAGGTGGAAGAGTACCATTATTGGGTGACATACTTTATCGGGTGGATGCTAATAGTGATGCTTCACAAGACGGTCCGAGATCTGAAAGAGAGGATTCTGATTATGATGAGGAATTGGAAGTGGACTTTGAAACATCAATGTCAGGTGACGAGGAGCATGATGCTGAGCCCAATATTCTACATGGAAGTTTAAATCTAAGGATCCATCGAAAAAGTGATTCAGCTAGAGAAATTGGTGCAAATGACTCGTGTGGATCTCCTTCATCATCATCACATAATGAAAGAACACCTTATAAGGTTTCTTAAATAGTTTTACATTTAGTTGTTTTCAGATAGAACAGAAACATTTCATTGTTTTGACATTATTTAGTTCTTTCATTTAATTGTTGTTGCCATTCTACTTGTCACCTGTATTGCAGCCTGCTGTAGTTATTGATATGAAGCAAAGATATATTGGCCACTGTAACGTTGGAACTGACATAAAACAGGCCAATTTTCTGGGTCAAAAAGGTATATTTTCTCTAAGGATCATATGCAAGTTGAATCATTGACTCCAAAATTGTATTTGGAATTATTATTGTGACCTATTTGTACATGCTTTTAGCCTTTAGGGTGGGTGTTTCTTTAGATCGGATACTTGATTAATCTTACCATGTCAGAAGGAACCATTTGTCTGTTGAAAATTATATTATATTGTGTTAAAAATTCTAGATCTTCACATATAGGCGTTGGTGGAAATACATATGTTTTTAAGTTTGTCAGATTTTGGTGGTTGTTTGCTAGAGCAATATAGCAAACATATTAATGATGATGATGGCATTTTTTTCTATGCTACTAACACTTGCTCCAGCATTCTGCCCCCACCTGGCTGAGGAAGAATTACGGGGTGTAGTCTTAAGTTCGTGTGCCTAATTGTTTGTGCAAAGCATTGTGACAACATTTTCCATTATAAATTCTGGGGTTGTTGAGTGTTTAGGATTCTGTTTTGCTCCTACATGATCAAGGTTCAATTCCTCAGAGGCTTTGAAACTCGAGCCCGGGAAAGGGCTTGAGAGATTTTTGGGATGTCAAAAGACATACAAGTTAATGCGTGCTAAAAGAGTAGGGTTTTGTTATCGTAGTAGGAAGTAGATGGTGGCCATAGATCTTTCTTAACTGTTGTCTTTATTGAGTTATAGGTGAATATGTTGCTAGTGGAAGTGATGATGGTAGATGGTTTATCTGGGAGAAGCAAACTGGCAGATTGATAAAAATGCTTCATGGAGATGAAGCTGGTAATTCTTTTCCCTCCTACAACAAAAGTATGAAGCCTGATTTGCTCATTGTTAACAATCTAAGCTCTCTTCTTCATGTCCCTATACAGTTGTCAACTGTGTGCAGTGTCACCCTTTTGATTGTGTTGTGGCAACCAGTGGGATCGATAACACAATAAAGGTGAGTACTTCAAGAAGGAATAAATTCTCTCTTCCTCTCACCTTTCCCTTTTGTTTTTCCTCCTCGAAAAGAGATTAATTATGGTGTTTGCTGGTGCTTTGTTCTAGATATGGACTCCAACTGCTTCTGTTCCATCAACTGTAGCTGGGGGAGCAGCAGGACCTGAAACTGCTGACTTTTTAGTTGCCATGGAAGCCAACCAACGCAGATTATGCCGCAATCGTGAAGCTATCCTGTAAGCTTCTGGAGTTGATGTTGTTGTTGTAGATGTTTTTTCTGCTTTTCTGCTTTTTTATTTTTTTTTCTTTTGTGACGTGTATATTAGTTTTGCATCAAACTTCAAGATGCTGTCCATGCACTTATAAAATTTCTTTATATACATAACATACTGCAAACTGTACATCTGGCTATATCATGACTTCACTCTAACCTATTTTTTGTTGACTACGTGCTTTTTAAATTATTTCATCCATCCCATGGCTAATATCATTGATGGTTAATGTTAGGGGTTTTGAAATTCTGGAGCGGTTCCGAGTACACGAGTTCACGGAAGGAAACTTGCATCCTTTTGAGTGTGCTCAGAGTTAATCAGCTTCTTGCTCAAGCTTGCAGGTTCCCAACACTTCTCAAACTTCGTATTCCTTCATACACACACACACACATATATATTTCATGTTCCTTGGTATCAAAAACCATAATTATGCTTGCGTCCTCCTTGGGATGGGTATCCCAGGAGCTCATAGATGTGACAGCGAAGTGGCCCTAGCGACAGGTGAAGTTACGACTTCCTGTGGTAGAAGATTGACTCGAGAATTCTAATTGCTCTGTGATTGTAGTGTTTGTATCGTATCTTGTAAATTCAATAAATTGTCTTTTGCTAGTTGCTACTTTGGAGTTTTCTAAGGCATCTAGCAGAATCTAATGGGTAGCCAAGCTTTAAATATGAAGCGTGATTAATATTTAGAAAGCCAACGTTTTGGCAGAGATTACTAGGGAGTTTTTCCTGCTTCTTTTGAGTGAGCCTGTTAATCATTTTTTATCCGGTCATGTAGTGTTTGTTCCTGAGCTATAATCAGATTTTTATCGTCATGCTGCTGCTCGGGTGTTTGAAATGTTTTGGACAATCTGGTCACAGCACTGTCAACTAGCGATTCAGTTTCTTACTCCCGACTCTTATTTATTTATTTACTTTTCTCTCCGTAACTATTACAGATTCAATGTCTAATACTGTGAATGGAAGGATTGCGGTATTGTGTTACGAAAAGGCAAAGAAAGTTCACACAGAAGACCCCCCCTTTTTTTTTTGCCCTGATTGGCCATGTCTTTTGCCTTCGAAGATCTTGGTCCAAAATATAGAGGAATGAGTGATCCGTGCGATCGAGCTGTAGGTTTTTTTTTTTTTTTTTTTTTTTTTTTTTTTTTTTTTTGGGTTTTTTTTTTTTTTTTTTTTTTTTTTTTTTTTTTTTTGGAGTATATTCATTTTCCCCCTCTAAGCAGTGAGCATTCACCTTGATTATGCATTGCGGGGAAAAAGATGGAAAAAACATTGTACAGTTGAGGATATCCTTACTTGGTTTTTCTATACATATATTTGTGTATTCCTTTTGCAATGGTACCCCTTTCGTGTACAGATTGTTCGTTTAGTATATATGTTGATATTTTTAGAACAGCTGGTATCAGTATCCATTTTCTTATTCCTGTCCACCATATTCTTGTTTAGGAGTTTTTTAGTTTTGTTTTGTTTCTGAATGTTAAATTTGATCAAAATCACCTCAAAACGAAAGTGTAGGCAAAATTATAGTTCTTGAGAGAGATTTAACGGTTTAAATAGAGTTCGGTGTGGTATATAATTTTGATACCCTAGAATAAAAATCTCATTTTGTTTTGGGATGATCTTCAGTCTTAATGTTGATTGGGTTTGGTCTACCTTGCTATTTTTCCTCAGCAACAAGTGTAGAAGAGAGACACTAAGAATACAATCAAAATTCAGACCACGTGGTAAGACAAATGAAAAATCCACTTCAAGTTGACACTCTTGTGTAATTTATTTAATGCCGGAAGAAAGCTAGAGAAATAATTAAAAGGGCAAGTGAAGGGCCATATGATTTTTGACTAGATAGGAAAATGATTTCTTATCAATCAATATTCCACAGGTACGTACTTGTCGGCCTAACCTCTCTTCACAAGTGAATTTGATTGGTCAGCCTGCAGGCCCAACAAGCCAGTAACGGTTACGTACGTAAGTAGTCATTGGCAATTTCATAGGTTCAACGTCTAGGCCGTTAGGGTATCAAATATAGAGAGAAATATCAAGGGTTTTACTGATGGTTTTATACCATTCTCTAATGTCAATATCGTATACATGGCAAAAAAGAAAAGCAAAAATGACTTATTTGACGTCTTATTCTATTTCATATTCTATGCATAACACTTTTTTTTCATAAATTTTAGGCTTTGAAACTCGTTAAAATTTTAATTTATAAATAATTTAAAATATTGTTATATGTATGAAAAGATTAACACATCAATAAATAGTAATAAAATATCAAAATTTACATGTGCTATACTTGTTGTTAAAGTTAGTAAAAAAAAACGTTTTTTTTTTAATTTTAATGTTAAATTTGACATTGACACATTAATTTGACATTCAATTAAGATAGCAAAAATTGTTATAAATATCATATTTTTAAAATCTATTAAGTAAATAATAAATTTTAAAACTATTTAAAGTAAATAACAGTTTACTTTGTGTTTGTTTTATTTACGACCGGTAAAAAATCTTTATTTACGTGGAAAAAATCTTTTTATCAATCGTAAAATGAAAATTTATGTGGAAAAAAATCTTTTTACTAATAGTAAATGAAACATTTAAGTGATAACTTATTATTTACTTCAAATAGTTTTAAAAAACATATTATTTATTTTATTTATTTTCATAAATCTACTGCATTTTCCCTTAAAATAGTAAGCAAATAGTGGGTTCCCGCATGTGCCATCAGGAGGCGGATTGACAATGGCTTAGGCCTCATTAACCAAGGTATTAGTGAATATTTGTGAATATTAAATAATATCGTAATTATCCATACAAAAATATATGTAAATTTTTAAATGTTACATCACATTAGAATTGTATCAGAATAAAAAGGAGTATATCGATGTAATATTATTTAATGAATATTTGATGGCGCGGAACTACAGCAAATAAGAGAATATATATATATATATATATATTTTCCAATCAAGAGGATATTATTATTATTTTTTAATCCTGTTGTAAGATTCTTATTATTTTCAAAAACACATTTCAAAACTTCTCAAGTTTGAGCTTAAGAAGTGAAGACAAAAACTGCTCAAAAATGTAGGTGGTCCTGACTCTATAGATCCAAGACATCTGGCGCGAGACGGCGAGAGGTAGTTGATCGTTATAATTAATAATGCGTACGTGTAGGTAGTTCATTTCTTAAAATGCTCACGCATTGATATTCATTTCAACTTCTTCGATTCTAGATAGATAGAAACTAGTTTTTTTTTTTGTTGGTTGAATGTTGTTGGAAGCAAAGTGCCCTTTTCCACATCCAAGGCTAAAACTTGCCATGATAGATATATAAATGATAACGCCTCCATCAACCTGAGCAAAAAGCTAAGCAAAAATCAGCAAAAAAGAAAAAGATTACGTACACTTGTAGAATAAGTGAAACCCATTAAAAAAGTAGTTACTCAATTTCAAAAGAAAGCTCCATGGCTGGCCCATCTTCTTTTTTTTTTTTTCCCCTCCTATTTTGTTGGCACAGAATCTTCTTTCCACATAAAGATTCCAAAAGGGGTCTAATTGATATTTTGGCAAGTTTCTGAGGTGAGTGAAAGCCAAGAATATTCGACCCTGAAAAAGTTGAAATTTGTGGCTTCAGGAGATTGGTAGGTGTATTGTTAATATTTGTTGTCTATTTATCTTGTGCTCTGTATATACAATATAGAAAGAGCAAAAATTTTTTGGAACTGTAGAAAGAGCAATTTTGAAAAAATAAAAATAAGAATAAAAAAATAGAAAGACAAGCAAACTGGTTCCAACTTATGGAGTATATTCATTTCGGTTTTGGTTGGACCAAGCTTCTCAATATTGGAACAATTTTTTTTTCTTCTAATTTTATATAAATAATTAAAATCACAGTTGTTTTGACCGTCCATTTTATATTGCATGTTTCTTTCGAGTGATCAAGTGATTCGCATAGAAATTTTCCTGTGTGAATGTTTATATATGGTGCAATATTGGTTATGGACGCCAACTGAGACTTGGCAAAATATTTCCACTAAAAAATGATTGCTCTCTCAATGGCTGCCAAAATAAAAAATAAAAAAAGTTCTCTGTGGTGATTTCTTAAATGGCATCCAGAATTTAACCAAATTGGACTTTCTTTCCCATTTTGTTCTGTTCTTTCTTACATCAATATCGCTTAAGCAATTTATATTCAGCTTTTCATACTTGATCAGAAATCAGATTTGTACTTTATATTCTAAAATATTCAGGACTTTCTATAACAACGCAGAAACATATAATTATTTTTCAAATTATAAGTCACATGTATTGGCAATAGGTTGGAACTACTCATCATTAATTTAAATTTAAAGCGGGTTCCCACGTTGCTATAGACAGAAATAATGTACATCTGACTCATTTTAGGTTAAGTACATGTTACTCATTTTAGGGTAAGTTGTAACTTCCTGACCATCCTAAAAATGTCCAACAAGAAGGGCCTTAAATTAATTATGCTGCATATAATATTTGAGTTCCTTTGATATTATCAAATTGATGTGAATTTGACGGCCAATTATAAGGTATTTATAAGTAGTCAACCAACAAAGTTTTTGTATAAGCTATATAAAAATGTCTAAATTAATGTTTATATTCTTAAAAAATACAAGTTCAGATTTTATGCATAAAAATTAAGGTGTTTTAGGGGGGAAAAAAAGTCTGAAAAATATTTCTAGTTATTTTGGCGCCATTCTCAAGTCAGTTCTTTTAAGAAACTTACCAAAGGGGAAAATTTATCAAAAAAGATAGAAAGAATCAAACGGGACAAGTTTCAATAGGAATCAAATTTACATTTTTTTTTTTTCCTTTTTGAAGAATCTGGTGGGGAATTGTTAGCTTTTTTAAAAGTGTGCATATCTTTTACCAAATTAAATAGAAAGGCATCTGTATCCTTGTATGGAGATTTGATGCGGAAGCTTCCCTTTCAGCATTTGATATACTAATTTCCATTTCAAAAAAGATTTACCTAATATGTGAGTTTTAGTTGAAAAGGTTACCTAATATGATATTTGTTGAAATATGATCGGTGCAACAGAAAATATCTCCAATGAATGTAAAATTTCTCTTGCAGCTAGTGAAATATGAAGTAGTGAAAAAAGGAAAAAAAATAAAGGTAGATAATTCGAAGTTACTATGCTCAAAGAAATATTTCTCAAGGTTGTCCCACAAGGGCTATTTATTTGTCAACCTTTTTTTTTGCTGGTTTATTTATGGGAAATAATAGAAAATAAGCCAATATGAAAAGCTTAAGAAAGTATATAGGCCAATTTTTAGTTTTAGAAATTAATAGGTCATAATTTGTCAAGTTATGGTTCATAACCAGATAAGTTATGGACAAACTTGTCAAGTTATGGTTCATAGCCAGACAAGTTATGGACAAAACTCATGAATTATGAACAATAAATTGTCAAGTTATGGTTCAAAATTAGATAAGTTATGGACGAAAATAATAATTTGGCCTATTTATTAACTTATGTAAACTATTGGCCTATTAATTTTAATTCATCTTAAGTCTTAGCCTATTTCCCTCTTTCTCCCTTTATTTATTTGTCAAACTTGTACACTATGAAAGGTGATATTCATCTTCAATGGCGCACTATACTGCAGCCACTTCTATATATATAGATGTTTCTGTCATCCCTAGCAACAAATATCACTTTATCAATAATGTTGAATTTTAACATGAAAAAAGTGATTTTCCACATACAAGGTTTTATTTATTTATTTATTTTTGGAATTCTTAAGGTCGTGTTTTAGTTTTTCAGCATACAATTATAACTCAATGTGCGGCTAGTTATTTGACTTGAATTGCAATATTTTGGTGTCCAAAAAATATGTGATTACTAACTTAATTTAGCGGTATTTTTGCGTAATTATTAGTTGAACTTTAGAGTTTGATCCGCTACTCTAAAGAAACGCTACACTATTTTGTCCTAGGAGACTTCTATATCATACCATGGCCAAGAAACATGCATAATTGTTTGTGCTTGATGCCAAACTACCATCTGCCTTTCACGCGCTCGACTTTTTTCATTCATTCTCAAACAGAACAAAAAAAAAAAAGTACACAAATGGGAGCAATTTTTTTGTTTTTTTCCGGTTCGTTTATTCATTCATTCATTCTCAAAAGAAAAAAGAAAAGAAAATGTACACAAATTATGGGAGCAATTTTTTTTTTTTTCATTCATTCTCAAAAGAAAAAAAGAAAAGAAAATGTACACAAATGGGAGCAAAACAGCATTTCGAAGTGAAAGAAAGAGAGTACTCGATGGACATTGAAAGAATGTTGTTAAGTGTCCGTCATAAGGGCCCCACCAACCTCAATTATATATATATATATATATCACATATGACACCATTTTTATCTGTAACGTTTTGTGCACGGCGACAACTAATTAATATTTATATTTTAAGTTTATTTTTATATTATAGTGTATATATGTAATTTTTTTTTTAATTGGAAAAAGGAGAACCCAATTTAATATAAAAGGCCGGGGAGTACTTGAGCCGTTGTATGTTTTCTGGCTTTTATTTGTGTGGCCATCCATCGGCCTTGCATATTCATATTCATCTCTCTCTCTCTCTCTCTCTCTCTCTCTCTCTCTCTCTCTCTAGCTTGATCATAATTGTATGAAATTCCAAAGACAAATTAAGAAGAAGAACATGACAACAAGCAAAGCTACACCAATTACATCACAGCAGCTGCAGCAGCCTGCAGAGTGTTGCATGTGTGGTGATTATGGCTTCTCCCACGATCTCTTCCAATGCAAACTCTGCCAATTCAGATCGCAACACAGGTATATATATATTATGTCTAATTTCATTTCCATGTTTTTAATTCATATAATCTCTTCTGGGTTTCGACTATTTATCAATAATTTCTTGTATTTATAATAACAAATTATTATGACTCAGGTACTGTAGCAATCTGTACCCAAATGTGGCGGACTCCAACAGATCAATCTGCAATTGGTGCTTGACTCAGAAAGACGACGCCAAAGAGAAATCCCAGAACTCTTCCAATTCCGATTCAATTACCAAGATTAATATTACTAATCCCAAGAATAATAAGCAACAACAAGGTATTAGTAGTAGTAGTAATAATAATAATAATAATAATACTAGTCTTATTGCGAGACGTCAAGGAAGCAATAATCACTTGCAAGTAGTCAAGTACGGCCCAATCAAGAAGCAGAAATCGGTCGAGGTCTTATTACCGTTGCCGGCACCGGTGCCGTCGCCATCGCCGGTGCCGTCGCCATCGCCGGTGACCCGTAAGAGGATTTTGCTGAAAGAAGAGAGATTGAGAAGAACAAGGTCTGAGGATATATCAAACGGCAAAGCTGGGGTTACAAAGCATGTGGTGTTTAGGAATAAGGTCAGAAGGTACAAGCTTTTGGATGAGGTTTCAAGTTAATTCCCTAGAAGCTTCTTCTACTAGTAATTTTTTTGCTTTTTTTTTTTTCTCAAAGATACCCTTTGTTTTCACACAGATATATATATATATATATATATATATAGATATAAAATAGCATCAAATTGGTTTTGTTCTTGGTGTGGGAATTTTGCCTTGGATGGAGTACTTCGCTTCATTGTACATAACCTTGGATAAACAGAAAACTGATCTTTTTCTTCTTTCCTTTTTCTTTTTCTATTATTATGATTTGTATGTATAGATATTTGGCTTCTGCTATAGAACTAATTAATGTTTTTTTCTTCTTTTTGAGTAGACTAATTAATGGTATTTAGCAATAGCATCTGATCACTTGTCTGAAATACATTTATCTTCAAATTGAATTTAAAACTTAAATAAAAAGTATAAAGTTTATAAAATTATGCAATACTAATAATAATATCCTACTAATAGTGAGGGTAATTTTCTGAATAGATTTATCTATTGTTTGGATCTTAATGCGATTTTTTATAACTTGATTCCTAATGCCCATTATGTAATAAATATTCAAGAATGAAAAAATTTATATCAATTAGTCTGAGATGGATAAGTACTGTGGTTAATTGAGATGGGTAAATAAGGCTCAATGCAATTAAGCTAATATAAATTAGAAAGATTTTTTTTTGGTATGCTTATTGATAAGTTAGATTTTTCTAACTGTTAGTTATGCATAATTTTTTTATTTTTATGTAAATTTTACGGACATAAAATTTAATTTATTAATATGTTAACGTATCAAAGAATATATTTTGTTCTTCGGTAGGTTAAAATATCAATAAATCAAATTTTTTATTTATTAAATATGTATAAGATCACTTAAAAATTAAAAAATATAAAAATTCACCAGTTTAAAAAACTTAATTTATTGATACAATAGATAATCTCCCTTTTTATTAACTATATATACACATATACAGATAGATATAGATAAGCTTCAATCCTCGTGTTTTTATATTTGTCATCACTTTTCATAATAGAAATGAAAAAAAGAAAGAAGTACATTGTAATTATTACCACAATGATATGGTAACAGATCTAGATCAACACGTGGTGTCTTATTAAGTACTAATTGTTTGCATAATCATATGCGGCATTGCAGATTAACATTATCAATTAAAAACTATATAACAACTAATCACATGTTTGCTTGCATGTGCACCGATCATGATTTGTCAATTTTAAAGAAAAGACTACTCTGGACCATCCATTAATCTTTCACCACTATTCACTATTGTTACGCTTCAACTTGAAGAAAATAATGAAAATTGGGTTTAAATTAAGATTCAAAGCAGAATTTTTAATTATGATTTTTAAAAGAAAAATATTATATGAATTTACACTACAGCAAAACTCATATATCAAACATACACTAAATCTTCTGCGAACTCTTGTTAACATAATAATAAAAATAATAATAACAATAATAGATACTTATATGGGAGAATTATGTGGTGGGATGTAACACATAATTTATTAGATGAAGCTTGGACTTAAATAAAAATTTGACAGTAAAAAATTGTACTATATCAATTTGCGAATTTTTTTTTTCTATACCCCTACGAAATTAAGTATTCTCCTTAATATAGACTCGAAATTGCCAAGTTGCAAGGCCAAGCAAGAACATTTTGAGCTCTGGTTGATGAATCGGAAAGCTTCTCAGATTCCTAGGAAAAATATCAGAATGCAGGTTCTAGAAGTTAATTACTTTTGGCAATCATCCAATACAAGTCAAGTACTAAAAAAATTAAAATAATTCCTATAAAAAACTGAAAATAATTTAATACGTTGACTTAGTATAAGCATAAGACAAAACGGTACATAACCTTTATTTTCTTGGAGAACATTTTCTTCTTAGTAGGAATAAAAATCATTTCTTTTACGCTAGGACATTCTTTCTTGTAGACCAAATTGTAAAAATAATTAATATTTCTCTACTTTTTCTCATTCGTTCTCATAGCGTGTATCATGGAATTTTTCTTCCCTCTCTCCGTGTTCCGTGGGCTGAAAGTCAGTGAACGGGTCATCAAATAAAATGTTTTGCATTTTTAACGTGAACAACTAAAGCACTATGCACTAATACTATTGATGGGGAAAATAAATAAGAACATATATCCACCCACTTTAAGCTTATAGGTCCTTTATTTTGTGATTATGATATGATGCCACAACCCAACAACCTTAGTGAAATAACTCAATAATTGCCAACATCTCCCTATGTTTTATTGTGCAGGTTGAGTTGTTTCCAGGAACCTGCATAAAGCTATATATTCATATATATATATATATATATATATATATATATTATATAGTGTAGTTTTAATGGTTACTCCAATATTTACTCATTAATAGATATTATTGTTTGAGCCGTAAGATATTAATCCGACAGTTATAATAATTTATATATTTGACTAAAAAAATTTATGACAATTAATGAAACTGAATTTTTATCACACCAAGTTTATTTGACAGTAACCACCGATAGAAATATAAGTATTAAAAACTCGTCCATATATATGTGTGTGTCGCATTATTATATATATCGCTAACTTTGATAAGCAGGGATTTCATCATAAATATTTAATACCGGTTATATTTCCTGAAATTATAACCTAATCAAACATTGTTACCATAATCACGATGATATTGGTTAGTCATGCATATATTCTTTTCATTATCATTGTCATGAGACAATTTGGAATTGTATATTACAAATGATCATATCACGAGATTCTTTTCACCTTCACACACGCACACACATATGTTTAAATGTATATATTATGCAGACCAAACAAGTCGGCCAATATGATTATAGGAGGTCAAATCCTAGGTTCAAGTGATTAATACTAATGAATTAGTTAATACAGCTCCAAACACGCACATACCGTATGCACAATATATAATTAAGGATCTAGGACTTGAAATTTGGATCAAAATAATTCTCATTCACACAAAATGCTTACAACACTAGGCTGATAATACATGTAGAGAATAGTAATAAAAGGAAAATCAATCCTAATTGACACCTAATTAACATCTAATTGATACCTAAATGACAACCCATAATTCTTCTGTTCACACCTAAATTAAGAAACTAATCACGGAATATATATAGATATATATATACACACACATTTCTAAAAGAACAGAATATAACAGCATATCTAGGTGTTAGCAATAATATGGATAATGCAAAGAAGAACAACAATAACTTATGGAAAAGAAAATAACGAAATCGTTACAATACTGATTCAACCTTTCTACCAAACTCACAAACTGAATTGCAAGAATGTCGAGGCACGTGAACCATGCTTTCTTTAAAACAGATTCGTCCCCTTCGGCGTGTGCTTGGGGTAACGTTGGACGTCCGTCTCCCAAGATACAACGACAACGACGGTAGCATGAAGCACTTTCGGAACCGTCCGGCGAACTAGAACTGGATCTTTCCTCTATCACCAAAACCGAACTAAAGAAAAACATAAGAACTTCGAGACAAGAGAGAAACCGAGAGAGAGGAATCCAGCCACCTTTCTATACTAAGGTTTGGATTTTTGATGATAAAACCGAAGTCATTAAGCTATCCATAAAGCCTAATTCGGTTTTTCCCTTCATCAAGTCCCATTACTCGCCTTAAGCACACTATAAAACTCATTTACCACCATTAAGCACGTTATTAAGTACGGTTTTGGCTGGCAAAAAATAAAAATTAAATTGGAAAACAAGGCTCGCACGGAGCGGGTTTTCCGGTCCGTCATTCGTGTCCACAGGTCGAGCGGTTGCACACATTGGGCCTCTAACCCGCCGGGTCCGTGATGTGCACCCACCCTGCGCGTGAGAGAGCATCTCTGGTATACATGTTTACCTAGGCTTCAAAGTGCAATCACTTATAAACATCACCATGGCTTCATTTCTAGTCAATGTGGGATTTTACAATTTTCAAACCAACTTAACCATTTCAAGTGGCATTCTTAAAGCATAAATTTCTCATTCACCCGATATCCATTTTGAGCATATGAATATCCAATTTTGATCTCCTTGCAACGGAGAAAGTAAATCTATCGAGACTTGTTCCCAAAACCTATTGGGCCCCATTCTAATACAGGCCTCAAAATGGGCCTTACTATGGCTTAATAAGCCATTTTCCAACAATCTCCCACATGAATGAAAATTGACTAACGACGAGAAAACACAAACTTGACACGGTGATAGAGTTCTACAATCAATGCATGCAAAGGATAAGTAGGCGTTAACCCTTGAACCTTCCCTCTTGAGAATACATTAACTTTACTGGCTGACTAGTAGACACGATGTCCTTGAACTGTTCTGCCTTTGTGTAAACGTTAATATACCTAACACATACATCTTCCTGACACAGTTCTCTTCTCATAGTTATGTTCATTTTGGCCATGAACATCTACCTGGTTGTGCAAGAGTTTCTAAAGAATTGAGCCCTCACAATTCTCCTTTGAAGCGGCCTCACTTCTTCTCTGACATAGGTGATTTCTTAACGAAGAGTAACCCGTATTACTCCGCCCGGATTCCTGACGTATTCGACGTATAAGAATCATTAAAAACTAATGTTTAACCTCTTCTCGTACGAGTTTCACTGTTATCATCATAGGAATAGGCTGGGGTTACCCTCACAGTGAACTCAGTTGGTCTAAATAATTTAGTTGTCCCATTGAACCTAGATCTTGGGATCTCAAGTCAGCTAGGTTGGGTTTCCACTGCTTTGACCTATTTATTCCATGGGCTTCAGTCCCATTCCTCTCGATGTCTTTTCAACTTGATCTCTATTCGGTCATTTGGTCAGCAGATCTGCAATATTATCTTTTGACCTTATACTATGACTCCCGTTGAGATCAGTTGTCTAATGGTATTATGTCGATGACGTATATGTCTAGACTTACCATTATACATCGTATTTTGTACTCTACCAATAGTTGATTGGCTATCACTGTGTATGCAAATTGTAGGTACAGGTTTTGGCCAATCCAGAATGTCCTCCAAGAAATTTCTAAGCCATTCAGCTTCTTTG